GCCGCCCCACCTGGGCCACGGCGCTCACCTGGCCGCCGAGCACCGCGGGAGGTTCTGGGCCACGCGGCGCGCGTGTTCCCACTCCGCCACGTAGGCCGCGTGGCCTTGCTCCCTTCGCCGAGAAGCGGGCGCTTCCTCCTCGGAAGCTGGAAGCTCGGCCGCCGCCAGTTGCGAGCGCGCCGACTCTGTGGCGCTTCAGGTCCCCTGAGGTGCCCAGCGCAGGCCGCCACCCGCCCCCCAGCACCGCCGATGCAGCCCCCGCCTGCTGCCTCAGCCGAGGGCTCTGCGCTCTCTGCAGAGGCCCCCCGTCATCCCCAAACCCCAAACCTTAAGTCCTGCACCGCGTCCCGCCGCCCCGGGCTGGTAAGACCCGCTGATAGCAGGCGCGGGGCCGGACGCTGGGGATAACCTGGTGGCAAAAACAGACCTTGTGTCTGCTCTGAAGCCACTGGGCAGGTAAATCTGATTATGGCATTCGCCCCTTGAAATCTCGTTATGGGTTCCGGTTACTTCTGTAAAGACCCAAACTCCTTAAGGCGCGCATGAGGCCCCATGTAGATTCTCAAATGTTGCAAGCTTTTTCTCTCCCCCGGGCCTCTGCAGATGCTCTTCCCTCTGCGGGGCACTCCTTCCTGCCTCTGCCCTTAGCTATCCTCCACTTTGTTGTTGAGCTTGCGCTTCAAATATTTTTTAAGGAAAACTATCCTGTCCGTGAACACTTGCAGCCCTTGGAATTCTCCTTAGTCCTTGCAGTTATTTGTGTGATTTTTGCTTAATGTGTAACTTAATAGTGGACTGAGGTTCTTGAAGGCAGGGGCTATGGCCGCTTGGCTCTCAATCTTGTTATCTCCCACATCGGCACAGTGCAGGCTCATAGTAGGCTCTGATAAATACTTGTTTAAAGAATGAATGTAGAGCAGGCCTGGGTGAGTTTCAGGTGGTTTCGATTTTCACTGTCACCAGCGGAGAGGGAGGAGGGTTGTTGAGTGGGCCATTTGAGGAGGGCAGTGAGTGGTCCCTGTAGAGAGTGTGCCCAGTGACAATATACAGACATTTGAAGGGATTCTGGGGGGACTCTGAGGGCCCAGAAGATTGGGGGGCATGGGGGCATCGAGGCCCCATTGTGTAATTTCTTCCCCCCGCTTGAGGTTAACGTATTGTTTCATCTTTAGGGTTGGTAAGAGTTGAAGCAGTTTCTAGATGCTGAGCCAGTATGTGAGAGAAGGGGGATAGAGAGATAAGAGGGAACAATCTATTATTTAGTTTAATCAGTCTGCAAAGTAATAATGACTGAATTCTTAAGCAAATTATGTTATAAGGATTCTGGTTAGTGAGCACTGATTTCTTGTTTGCAACCCTGTATTGAAAGCTCCTGGAAGACAAAGACTTTTCATATTTGTATTTTCTTCTAAACCAGTGTCTTGAGCAGAGAGTTTTCAATAAATGTTGAAAGAATGAGGTAGGGGGGAAAAGGTAAAAGGCCCCAGAGTGGAAATTTCCAGCGATGGGACCAGGCTAGCTGAAGACATGTCCCTAATTACTTTTTTTTAGTCCTTAGTTCTTCTGAGAAACAATCCTGGGTCATTGGGCTAGGACCAGGAAACCCTGCTTGGGGAGCAGCTCTGTGATACTGTGTAATGAAGGATTATATTTTCTTGTAAAACTTTAGGAATCTGGATATCCTTTACAAGACCGTTAAGGTATAATTTATTGGATGCTTGCTATGTCCTTATATATTGTTACTTGTATTTTTCACAACAGCCCAGTACTTACATTATAGAGAGACCCAAAGCCCTTCAGAAGTTGCCGAGCCAGCATGTGGAGCCAGGCTTGTGGGATTCAAAAAGTTCACGTTAACGGGGCCTGTTATTACAAAAGTGTTAGTTGTGCTTGAAGAAATATCTGGACCCTTCCTTAGAGGCCTGGGAAGCTCCTCTGCCCATGGAGCACAGAGTACATTCATGAGGTGTACTCAAGTCTGCACCACGAATAGGCAGTGCAGTCTGATTCCTCAGCTGGCTTGTTCTATGTCACTATTTTCTGTTTGGGTATAATTTCTGGGATACCTGGAATTGAACATACCAGTTTGGGCTACATTTTCCACCTACTCATTCCCGGGGCCCAGGACACTGAGGGTAGCATTAGTCACTTGTTACTAGACAGAACTGTTACAGAAAAAGGTCTGAAGAAAATACTGTGAGAGGTATTGAACTTGAGTATAAAATGTATTCAGTCAAGCTGATCCTGCTTTTGACTTTACTATTTTTTTTTTCCCTCAAAGTAATCTCTATGCCCAACATGGGGCTCAAACTCACAACCACAAGATCAAGAGTCACATGCTCTTCTGACAGACCCAGCCAGGTGTCCCGTGCTTTTGACTTTATTCTAATTCCCAGATTATTTCCTTGTTTCCCCAGGAAGTACCGAGATGCTGGTTCTTACCTCTTAAACTGCCTCTCACTGATTTGCCCATTGACATCAGTGATTGATTGGATTGATTGACTCCTTTTTTAAGATTTTATTTTTAAGTAATCTCTATACCCAACATGGGGCTCGAACTTACAACCCTGAGATCAAGAGTCACATGATCTACCGACTGAACCAGCCAGGCCATCAGTGATATTTTTTTTTTCATTCACCATCCTCCATGCTTTCATTGGGCCTCCTTTTGAAAAGGGAATTGTTAATGCATTGACTGATTTCCTGAACTTACTTTTTAAACAACGTGAATGGAGATCAAAATAAAAGGGAAAAGTTACATAGTCTGATACCTACAAGACTTAAAATTTTCCACCTGCCCTTCCCGTATTGGTCCAGCCTGAACTACTGGCGATATGTTTATTATTTTTATTTTTTTAAGATTTTATTTCTTTATTCATGAGCGACAGAGAGAGAGAGAGAGAAAGGCAGAGGGAGAAGCAGGCTCCCCAAGGAGCAGGGAGCCCGATGCAGGACTCGATCCCAGGAGCCCGGGATCTTGACCTGAGCCGGAGGCCGATGCTTAACCATCTGAGCCGCCCAGGTGCCCTGGCGATATGTTTAGAGGAAGAGGCACCGCTGCTTTAGAAACAAGCCCAGGGCTCAAAACTGGCCTCAGAGGAGTGTGTGTCAGAGTCAGTGCCAGTACGCACAGTCCCCTGCTGCTGGCCGTGCTGCTGCCGCTTAGACATCTTCCTCTCTGCCCAAGGACGCTGTGGCGCTACCTACACAAACAGGGAAGGTGGAGAAGCAGTGAAACAAGGTGATTTTGTAGAACTTCAAACGGGAGAAGCTTGACGAGTTCAGGAGAACGTAGGTGTTGGTTTGAGTCATGTGGAGGCTGGGGTCTGTAGATACACCCTGAATTAGAGCAAGGAGCCAAAGAAGGCAATACATACACATGTTCCAGTTGGTTAAGACTTGGTAAAAATTTGTACCATGTTTATTTAGAGAAACTTAAAAAGTATAGAAAATAATACCCATATTCCTGCTACCTAGAATTGACTGACCATCATTAAATATTGGCTCATTGAAAAATTTCAACGGAAGAAAACATTGCAGATAAAAACCCGATTGGATTTGCAAGTCCAACACCATTACTTGCTTCTCTTCCTCCAAAGCCAATATGAACATGAATTTGGTGTTTCCTTGTGAGTCCATTTTCTGTAGTTACATACATGAATAGCTCATACCCATTAGAATGGCTGTTGTCAATAAGAAATAACAGGTGTTGGCAAAGATGTGGAGAAAAGGGGACCCTTGTGCACTTTTGGTAGGAATGTATTTTGGTGCAGCTACTATGGAAAACAGTGTGGAGGTTCCTCAAAAATATTAAAAAGAGCAGTGCCTGGGTGGCTCAGTCGGTTGTGTTCGACTCTTGATTTCAGCTCAGGTCATGATCTCAGGGTTGTGAGATCGAGCCCTGCGTTGGGCTCTGCGCTGGGTGTGGAGTCTGCTTAAGGTTCTCTCTCTCCCTCTACCCCTCCCTGCCCCTCCAAAAAAAAATTAAAAATAGACTACCATATAATCCAGCAATTCCGCTTCTGGGTATTTATCTCTCTCTCTCTGTCTCTCACACACACTTTTGTTCAGCCATAAAAAAGGAAATTCTGCCATTTGTGACAACATGGATGGACCTTAAGGACACTATGCTAAGTGAAATTAGAGAATGACAAATATGTCTTTTATAGGTAGAATCTAAAAACCAAAAACAAACTCCTAGAGAACAGATAGGTAGTTATCAGAGGTTGAGGGGGGGAGAAATGGGTGGGGGGGATATAAATTTATTTTAAAAATAATGAAAAAGGTGTTTTGCACTATCCCACTTTGAATTATATACTGTTAATTTATTATTACTAGTGTATTTAGCTTGTATCTACTATTTTACCTTTTGCTTTCTATTTGTCCCACCTTTGCTCTGCTTTTTGTTCGTCTTTCTTTCATTCTTAAAAGTAGCCTGAATTTTTGTTTTCATATTCCCCTTTTTCTGTCTACTGGTTTGGAAGTCATTGACCCTATTCCTGTTCTTAGAGTGGCTACCCTTAAAATTTTACATTGCACACTTCACAGAGCCTAAACATCCCACTCCTTCTAGATAATACAAGGACCTTGGAATACTCTAACTCCAATGGCTGTCCCCTTTCACCTTGTAAGTAACCTTGTAAGTCTGATCTGCATCTGTCCTTTTTTTCAGCCCACGCATTTGCCTTCATGATCATTATACTGAATTATACAATGTTTGTTTGGATTTATCTACATGTTTATCATTTTTCTCAACAATCCTTGTCTTCTTTCATCACTTTTCTTCTTTCTAAATTACATACTTAGAACTTCTTTTAATGTAGGTCTATGGTGATTTTTTTTATAAGACTTTATTTATTTGTCAGAGAGAGAGAGCACAAGCAGGGAGAGCTGCATGCAGAACAGCAGGGCAGGCAGAGGGAGAAGCAGGCTCCCCGCGGAGCAGGGAGCCTGATGCGGGGCTCCATCCCAGGACCCTGGGATCGTGACCTGAGCCGAAGGCAGCCACTTAACTGACTGAGCCACCCAAGTGTCCCTATGGTGATTTTTTTTAAAGATTTATTTATTTTAGAGAGAGAGAGAGCATGAGTGGGAGGGAGTGGCAGAGGGAGAGGGAGAGAGAGAATCCTCAAGCAGACTCTCCGCTGAGCGTGGAGCCCCACTGAGGCTTG